GCCTTCAACTTCTACAACTTTTAGTCTTCTATTCTTCCTTTGTTGGCACTCACTACTTGTTGGTCACATTTTCTTCCCGATCCTCTTTACTAGCCGGCTGGCTATGTTCTGCCTCTATCTGGCTCTTCTTCCCCCACCATCTGTCATTCTTTGTCCATTATTGGCAGTAGTTCGTACGTCACTAATTTCACGCCACTATTCAAAATCACTATGTAATATTTACATTACAATATGTATTTAGACTTATGTGAATATGACCATATTCTTTACCACACTTGTAAGTACAAGTATATCCATATTTACAGGATCGTATACGATAGAAAATTGATGTATTTTGAATTATAAATTTTAAAGAAAACAAATATTTTTTAAATAAAACATATTTATCTATAATTTTATGTGAATATAACAATATTCTTTATTACATATGTAAATACAATTACTGTGGAATGAGGAGACTTTTGGGTTGTAGCGCTCTGATATAGAAAAATAATAATTATTTTTTTTAGAGCTATATTTATTTCTTAGTGTAATCTGTGCTAAGTACTGAAAGCATAACAATAAGTATTGTTTTTAAATTGTAACGTATATAAAGTTACAAAATGTAAGCACATGTTAACAAAAAATAAATAAATATCTTATCTCTGAAAGCACCATTGTTTCTGTATTTCGTTTCTTAGCCCAACATTTTCCTCTGATGTAATTACCATTATTAAAATATTTTTAAAAAAATCTTCCTTATTGTAATTCCTAAATTCATTGCTGATGAATTTGACAGTACTGTTATTAACATTTGTAAATACAACAGTATTCCCTTTTACAAGAGTAAATACGGTTGGAAATATGGGTTTAAATTAAAAATGTTGAGTAAAATTAATATCTATTGAGGAAATAAGAATATTCATTCATACGATTATGTGAAAATTTTCCCATCCACAAACTACTGTTTCGAAAATCCATATAAAAATAGTACCGTAAAACTTATACAACCTACATCTAAATAGAAAAGAATGGATTTTCTTGAAAAACAGAAATTATGAAAAAAACAACGTTCTATGTCCGAATGTTAATAATAATCAATTTGAAGATTCTATGTTCATTAAATTAGTACCGGCTAATGAAAACAAGACGTAAGAGATGACGAATGTCCATCAAGACAATAGTTTTGTTTCTATTTTTAACCATCATATGACAAGGAGGAGAGGAGGACTGTAATAATCATCATCATCATCATATTCCTGATCCCAATACCGCAGCGCAGTGTGGGCTATGTCTTGTAGAGCTTGGACCAGGTTTCCCTTTCATGATCCAACTCTCTTCTCTTACTCCAATCCATACCTCGCTTCCTGAACGCCTCTTATACACTGTCTTCCCAGGATATGCGTGGTCTTCCTCTAGGTCTCCTTCCCTCCACACGGGTCTCGTATGTCTTCCTGGCTGTTCTCTCTTGATCCATTCTAAGAAGATGTCCAAACCATCTGAGCTTGTGTAACTCTAGGATGGTTTCAGCAGGTTTGACCTCGAGGCTAGTCCGTACAGTGGCGTTCCGGACCCTATCTCTTCTGACCTTTCCATCGACCTTCCGAAGGTATCGCATCTCCATGGCTTGAATTCGACTTTTGTGTTTCGAGGTGAGGGTCCACGATTTAGAGGAGTACAAAAGAATAGGGAGAAATGTAGATTTGTAGACTGCTACTTAAGTTCGCTTCGTTATCTCTCTTCTGTCCAGAAATCCCCTCCAGAGAAGATAGAACACTCTGCCAGCTGCCCCGATTCTTTTACTCACCTATCTACCTGCTCCAATCTCTCACCACTTACTCTCATCACCATCATTATTCTCTGGGACTTCTTCCCTATTCTCATACATTTAGTTTTCCCCGGGTTAATCTTCATGTTTATCGTGGCTATTTCTTCCTGGAGGATGTTGATGTTGTATTGGAGATCTCGATCGTTGGCAGTTAGCAAGACCAGGTGGTCAGCAAATGCCAGCACAGAGAATCTTGTCGGTTGCAGTTTTCGGTGTCCTAACTGGAACTGCCTCATCCTTAGTTTAGCCTTTTTAAGTGCCATGTCTAAAACTATTATGAACAGTAGCGGGCTTAAGCTACAACCTTGGCGAATACCTAATGTCATCTCAAATTCTTCTGAAATGTGGTTCATGGTTCTAACCACATTTCTGGTTTTGTTATAGAGACTTATCACAGCCAAAATCGATCCATGATCGGTTTCAGACAATGCCCGCTCTATATCTTCCTTCCTCACTCTGTCGAAAGCCTTTTGGAGGTCCACGAAGCAGACAGAAAGCTCCTTATTCTTCTCGACCGTCTTTTCTGTAATTTGGCACATTGTGAAGATAAGATCCTGCGTACTTCGCTGCCCTCTGAAGCCGCATTGTTCTTTCCCGAGCTGACTATTCACCAACCTTCTTACCCTTGTCTCCAGTATTCTGGAATAAACTTTACTGCTCCAACACTGAATAACACTGAGAAGCGATATTCCTCGATAATTCCCACACTCTCTATTATCTCCTTTCTTATAAATGGGCACGATCACTGCCACTTCCCAGTCTTTCGGAATTATCTTTTCCTTCCAAATCAGGTTCAGAAGATGGAGGAATATCTCTTGGCCTTTGCTATCCATGAACTTAATCATTTCGGGACTGATTTCATCAAGACCTGCTGCCTTGCCCGGCAGCTTGATCTTGTCGATGGGTTCTTGCAGTTCTTCCTCACTGATGTAGTCGTCTTCGACTCAAACATTCTCCACCCCACTTCGAGTCTCACACATCTCTACATCTCTACCCTCAAACAGTTCTTTAAAATAGTCCCTCCATCTTTCCATAATCAGTTCCTCCTGCCAGATGATCTCCCCATTGTTATCTTTGATTCCTTTAAGTGAAGTCGGTCGGTCCCTCTTCATTCCTTTGAGGACTTTATAAAATATTTTCTGATTTTCCCTTGCATTTTCCTCAAGTTGTAGACCAAAATCCTCCCAAGATTTCCTTTTTGCTTCAAGCACTTTTAACTTGGCATCTTTTCTCCGATCTTTGTATACTTGGTGAGCTTCGGGAGTTCTAAGACTTAGATGGTTCTTCCAAGCTTTCTTCTTTTCTTCGATGGCCTTTCTTACGTCTTCTGTCCACCAGGCTGTTCTTCTAGGACCAGATCCAACACCCTTTTCCCCGCAGACCAATTTTGATGCATCAAGGAGGATCCTCCTAAAAGCTGCCCAGCTCCTGTCAATGTCATCGCAGTCCCAATGTCTGTTGTTGTCTAGGGCCATTCTTTCTATTTCTTCTTGAAAATAGGTTGCAAAGTCATCCTGCTTTAAGCGATATGATTTTATGACCTTTTTCTTGGAGTTCTTATTTCTTTTTCGTGGTTTCAACTCGTTCCAACATCTATTGATTATCAGCAGATAATGATCACTGCCTATCTCAAATCCTCGCTTGACCCTGGCATCCATTACTCCTCGCATTTCTTCTCTTTTGACCAAAATATAATCAATAATAGATTTTTCATTTTTTCCCACTTCTTCTCTCATAAATCTATGACATTCTTTATACAGAAAAAATGTATTTGATACCATCAGATCATTTGCCTCACAGAAGTTCAGGATTCGGTGGCCATTATCGTTTATGATTTCCTCACCATATCTTCCTAAGGTTCCCGGCCATCTCTTGGAGCTACAACCGACTCTACCATTCAGATCCCCTACAATTATGGGCGTGCCTTTGCAGTCATCTACTTCTCTTTGAAGTCCAGTATAGAAGGCATCTTTTTCATCAGAGTTAGCACTATCATTTGGCCCATAAGCGATTATTACTGAATGAATTTTTTCTCCCTCCAGAATGTCCAGCACCATTATTCTGCTACTTACAAATTTCCATGTTTTTATAACGGAAGCCAAGTCATTATGGAACAAGAATCCAAATCCACAGGCTGCTCTCTCATCGTTGTTGACACCCGAGTATAGGAGAGTGTAATTTTGAATCTTCAATTCCCCTTTTCCTTTTTTCTTTGTTTTTGTAATGCCTAAAAGATCTACTTTGGCTTTTTGAATCTCCTCCACAAGCTCGCACTCCTTCCCATTCAGGCCACGAACATTCCAAGTCGCCATTCTAAATAACCGTTTTCCATGCTGTGTTGAGTTCCGTAAAGACTCTTTTCATTCTGTTATTTGTGATAATAACTGTAATAAATTAGGTGATAATTAGTTTTTCTTTAATTGGTATGTTTTCTTTATTTTATAGATTGATTTGTAAATTTTGCTTTTTAGTGTTGTTAATTTTTATATCCTTAATTTTTACATGATTATTATATTAAGCCAGATGAAGGAGCTAAACTGGTAGCAAGATAAAATAAAGAATTATATACAGGAGGACGTCTTTTTATTGAATTGTATTCTTGGTTTATTACTATATCTGTTAGATGTTTCGAGAAATGTTCTTCCCATTGTCAGGAACATATAATACTATTAACAGTTATCCTTTTTTATTTTATAGGAAACAAAATTTATAGGATAAAGGAGCATAAATAAATAAAAAACTCCGTTACAATTCCCGGTTTTCCAGATCGCTGGACACCCTGGTATACTAGCTGAATACTTAAACTACAATGGTCTCAACACCAATCCTAAAAAGGAGAAACACAAAGTAATCAGGCCACCTAATCTGAATGAGGTATAGATTAATCCATGTATGAAAGTAAAACATCCAGAGAGAGATTATGCTAGATAGGCCTCATAACACAGTAATAATAAGCGATGCAAATAATAGCAGATTATTAAATATTCAGTTCTAAAAAATATAATTTTCATAACAAAAAGATATTAAAAAAAAAAAGAATAGAAGAATATCTTAAAACAGAAAATCTATCATTTACAGAATCTTATAAACTAATTAGTGAAAATACCTTCAATAAAATAGAGACCATGCAAATTAATAACTCATTGTTGTTTATATAATAAAACTTGGTTTTAATATGTATAGATGTTGATACCTTCCCCAATGATTTCTATCAGCAGCAGAAAGATGATAAGGGTAATAATCAATCTGAAGTGAACAAAGCTTTAAACAAACAGCACTTCCATTCTGTAACAATGGATGGCAAGATCTTCCAGCTAAATAAAGAAAATAACAATTAATAAGCTTAAGCTAATGATTTTTAATGATTCCTGAAACATAATATTTTATTATCAATGTTGATTTCATTTTCATAATAAAATTATTTAGAAAAGGAAGAAAATAAATAAATAAAGAATGAAAAAATCAACTTTATTCTGGGCCAAAATCCCTTGAAATTAATAATAGTTTACAGACAAATTACCATATATATTATTACAGTAAGCTCGAAATCGGTTTTGTACTAAATATAAGGTGTATTCAGGCGTAGGGAATTGGCGCCCCCATTACCCAGCCGTCAGCTTGCAATTAGCCACTGGTTCTACTGTAAGGGGAAGACATACACTATGTTTTAAATACAGTACACTGTATACAGCACACAACATTCATCCATACACTACAGACTAAGGTCATCTAAAGTAAACACCAATTTATCAGAATATAAAAAGATAAACTTGCAACAGTAATTTGTTATGCAGGAATGTGTATCAAGTCACTGCTGCAAACTCACGTATTGTCTTAAAAGCAGGTTAGGGAGGAAAATATAATAAAAATAAATAAAATAAAATAAAGTACACAATCTAGGACCACCTCACCTAGGTAGCCAACCCGGAAGGGGGATGTCAGGACGTTCTGAGAAGGCTGCCCCTCCACCTGACTCGGGGGTAATAGGCTGATAACCTACTTCTCTTAAAATTGCTTATCATGAAAACTCCTAAAAGTATTAAAGCAGGATTATCTCAAAGGAATAAGACCAGGAACCACCAAACTGACCTACGTATACCTTACTGGAATATTTTGTCCCTGTACCAACTAGGAGCCCTTCAGGTGCTCCTTAATATTATTGATGATTACCACATAGGCATAGCAGCGATCCAGGAAGTCTGAGATGGCTTGGAAGTGGTACACTTTAAAAGAAATGTCACATCCCGTACTATAGCTGCCACAAAACTCACCACATCTTCAGTACTAGATTTATTGTTAGAGGAAGAGCCCGCCAACTGGTCTTAAAATTTACACCCATCTCTCCCTGTCTATGCTATATCCGCCTTAAAGGGAAATTCTTTAGCACCTCTTTCACAAACTGTCATGCACCTACTGAGGTATCACCAGAGGAAGATAAAGATGGCTTCTACGAAGATCTCATGAGAGCTTTTGCGGCTTGTCCTAGAACAAACAACGTTAAGATAGTTCTGGGAGATTTAAACGCACAAGTAGGCCAGGAACATGTGCAACGGCTGACTGCAGCAGCTTTCAACCTACACAAGTTTACTAATGGTCAAAGGATGATTGACTTTACAAAATCTCAAAGGCTTAGTTGTAGGAAGTACCATGTTCCCAGGAAAGAGAAGTTACATTGAGATCACCAAATGGAGCTGTCTCTAATCAAATTAACCATATTTTGATTAGTTCTCGGCATAAGTGTAGCCTCATTGGAATCAGAACTTACCGAAGAGCCAATGCATGTATGGATCATTACCTTAGCATTGCCAGGATAAGTGCAAGGATCTCAGCGATGAGTAACAAGGTTGGGAAAATGCAGCAAAAATTCAACGTCTCCAAGTCTGGAGCCTATCAGGAGAATTTCAAAATACAGCTTGGGGAGCAGAAATGACATTCCTGATGAACAGAGGACGGGAATATCCCGAGCTCTGAAGACGGCAGCTGGAGAAACGCTAAGCCACTAAACATGCAGCACAAGGTCCCTCTGGTTTGACAATGAATGCTTAACCGCCACTGTCAAGAAAAATGAGGCATATAGAAGGATGGCGCAGTGGCATACAAGGAATATACAGGAATGTTACCGCAATGGAAGGAAGGAGGAGAAGAGAGTTCATCGCAGGAAAAAGAGAATGTGGGAGAACAATAGGATAGGAAACATCGAATCCCTCAAAACTTTGAAAGCGAGTGGGCTCTTTTTTCAAAGGGCGAATGAGGGACAAACCACATTCAAACCAAGAGTGACATCATGCATGGACGAAGAAGGATGTCTTCGAACAGATAAACAGAACATCTTGGAGCGAAGGACTTTTCACTTAAAGAAGATACTCCAAAAAGAAGATGTGGAGGAAGGTGCTGAAACAGGCAGAGAAGAGGACACACAGGATGATGCGCAGCCATCTGATAAAGACAAGGTTGAGGCAGCCATTGCAAAATTGAAGAATAATAAGGCGCCAGGACAGGACAGCATTCAAGCAGAGCTACTGCAGAATGGTGTACCTGACCAACAAATAAAATACCTGTACCACTAACAACCCATGAAGGGTCTTGGGGTTAAGTACAATGTGAAGATGTACTGTTACTAGGCCAACAGTTGTGCAGGGAGGTGACAGGCCAATATTTAGGATTTTAACTAAGGCGGACTGTGTAGAGTAACCGGATCAAAAACCATATTAGTAAGGGTCAAGATGATTGGACTGTTGAGGAAATCGGAAACTTGTGATTTCACTAGTCTTTCCTCGGGTTTTGAAAGGTTGGAGAAGATTGAGATTGGACCGAAATCTTCATCTGGACCAGTAGAATTTAAATGTAATTTCAACATAGCAGATATGAGATCAGAGAGCAAAATGTACAAAGAATAAAAGTTGTTTTCCTTGAATGATGAATCAGGGAAAACATAGAGAAAAGATTAATGGAAAAATGGAGAAGGAAGCAAACATAAAACATGAAATTAAATAATTAGGTGAAACTGGAAAGACTAATGAGGGATAGCATCTGGAAGGTTCATAAAGGGAGAGTTTATGAAATAGTAGCCATATTGATTTTGAATCAGGAGATTCATGGAAATAGGTAAATTAGAAGTGATAATATCAACCATGAAATCAATAGAAGAACAGGAATAAACTTTATTCCAATCTAGAGTTTACGTTGGGTGAGATTTTTTCACGAGTAAGGGCATCTAGATTATGGGGAGTAATCTGTATTAGGTTGAATCAAATGAGTTTGGATTTTTATAATATTTGGATCAGGTCATGAGAGGATAAAAAGGAGACTGTTAACTGAGAAGAGGAAAGGAGGTTCTGAACGGAGACGTTAATGTGCAGGTCCAACTGCGTGTTGGACCTGGAGGTGTGATAAGTGGGAAAGAAAGGAATGATGAAAAGATGGAGAGAGAAAAGAGGTTTTTTGAGATATGATTAAGAGCAGAACAGACGTGGTTAAGAAGTTATATCTTATGATAAATAATGCTTAAGCCTTTAACATATCGACTGCCATGGTAACTTTCAAGATTCAAGTCTAAAAAATTTAATTTAATTATATTATTAAAACAATAATTTTAATCCATAGAAATCACCGAAGAGCAAAACTTAGATCATCATAGCTGCAAAGATATGGCATCCAAACAACCTACGAGATAATTCTTAGTTGGCATTTTGGGCAAGAATTTTAACTAAGAGTTATCTTGTAGTGCGGTAGTCAACAGGTTAATGACTTGTAAATCTACCTGTATGTATAAATCTATAAAGAGCAACATAAAGGTGGTCCTCACATTCCATACACCTTGAAGACAGAGTGAGGGCTTGCTCATGCCTTTAGAAGTTATAACCATATCAAATATATAAGAAATAGCTATAATTTAAATATTAATTAAAAATAAAAGAAAAAGTTAAGATACACACCTCCTGGATCATCACTTAAGTGTAAAACAATTTTTTGAGCAATAAAGTGATAAGATGTCTCAATAACATCAAATCGAGCAAATACTTGTTCTTTTGAGCTAGGTTCTGTACCTCGAGCCTGTTGTGATACTTGGGCATGGTATTCTGGAAGCATCTGAAAATTTTCATAAAAAATAAAATAATATTTAGAAATTATGGTACTATTATTATCTCTTTATTTTCCACATATACAATGGTGTTTATATGTAATAGTTGGGGACCTATTAGGTCAGCCAAAAATTACATTTGTATATTTTCATAATTATTTAATATTTGTGAACTTCCTGACTATATTTGCTGTTCCCAACAACACTGCTTGTTGCATTCTTTCGATTGTCTGAGATGGTAGTTCTAGTTGTCGCAGAGAAGATACAGTTTCTTCCGGTATCAGTCCTTTGCACGAGATTACAATTGGCAGAATTCGAGTTTCCTTTAAATGATATAATTGTATGATCTCTTCAGCCAATTCTACGTACTTTCTCTTTTTTTCCGCTACTACCTTGTGTAGGTTATCATCAGAAGGAACTCCAATCTCTATGATAAACGCAGATTGCTTACCTTTATCTATTATAAGAATGTCTGGTCTATTGTGGGGGATGGTGTGATCCGTCAGGATCGGTTGATCCCAGAACACCTTGACATTGCGCATGGAGTTAATTGGTTCTGGATGGTATTTATAGTATGGACAATACTTATAGACGAGTTCTATTTTCTGAGCCAATAGCTTGATGCACTACCTTAGCTGCATTGTTGTGTCTCTGCAAGTATTCCTTACCTGCAAGTATTGTGCATCCCGATGTTACATGTTGTATTGATTCAACTGCCTTTTTGCATAAGCGACATAAGTCATCGATGCCCTCTCCACATATATGTTTTCTGTATGCTTTTGTGGCTATTACCTGTTCTTCAATAGCAAACAAGAATCCTTCTGTTTCCGGAAAGATACTTCCACTCTTCAGCCATGTCAATGACGCCTCAGCATCCACTCCTACATCCATTAATGAGTGATAAAATCATCCATGTAAAGGTTTATTTTTCTATATTTCTGATCGAGTGCCATCATCTGCTTTACTAATCGGGATTCCAGGGCTTTGTAAATTCAAAGCTGTATAATTTATATCTAATGATGCGATAGTTGAAAGGATATTGGAAGTATGGTTTATAATGTAGTTGCGAAGATTATTTTCTTTCTTTCAGCATAAATTCAAGAGGCTGATTAGAACACGCCCTCCCATCTTCCTAGGAAGATACAATCTCACTACAGATGACTTTGGATGCCTCTTCCTTGAAAGCACCAACTGTACTCTAAGAAAACGATCCAACCTTTCTAAATCGGTTTTAGTCCACTTCAGTACCCCAAATGAGTAGGCTAAAGCAGGTATTGCCCAGGTATTCAATGCCCGTATCAAATTTCTTCCACTTAAATGTGATTTAAGTACTAATTTAACACGGTATTTAAATTCTTCCTCAAAGTTTTTCTTTGAATTAGCATTGAATTTCAGTAGTTGGTGTACTCCAAGGTACTTGTAAGAATCAGATTCTCTTAATTGATTCATTATTACATTTTCTGATATCTCAATATTACTCCCCTTAATAACTCTTCCTCTTTTCATGTGTACTATTGCACATTTATCTATTCCTAGATTCATTTTTATATCATTACTGAACGTTCTTACTGTCTTCAGAAGAGCTCCCATTTCGTCTTCATTCCTAGCATAAAGCTTGAGGTCATCCATATAGAATGAATGAGAAAGCTTCATTTCAGAGTTAAGTATACCTCCTAATTCTATTTGCTAACACTGCTAATTTCTGCTTGAGTGTTTCCATATAAACACCAAGTTTTTTATTTAACTCACTTCTTACTACTTCTCCAATATTTAATACAATAATTTCATTAATTTTTTTCTTTAGTTTTAAAGAAGCATTTTCTGAATTCCGAAGGTAATTAGTAATAATTCCGATTTTACACCGTATATTTTCGATCTTTTTTTTAATTCTTCTCTTCCAGGGAGGATCTTTACATTCATTAGTTTTATTACAATCCACCTTATCTTTTATCAAACCTAGCTCCATCGAGACAGTTCGGGCCCCTACGTATATCTAATGACATATCTCTTCTAAAGTTATACCCATCGACATATGCTCAGCAAGTATCTCGTTGACGGTGTTGACAGCGGATAAAGTTCTTTTGGAATATGGTACCTTTGGTATAGAGGGTCTACTGTCCAAAGGTATTCCTTCATACATTATGTGTTCTCTTAATAGTATATTACGCATCTCTATGATGTGTGACGCTTCTTGGGTATTCATAGAAGTCGTTTCCAATTGCATATTCGCCGAGGATTCTACCTCTTCTACTTGTTGTATTTCTATCTGTGAGTTTCGGGCTAGTATATTACCTGCTTCTGTGCTGATTGCATTAATTTCCGATTTGGATAAAAACTGGCGTTCTAATATTTGCTTGACCTGGTCAGCGAGTCTTTGAAATGATACAGCTATTATTATTATTATTTCCATTCTTTATTCTCGCTTTGCAGGGTAAGTTTCTGAGGTGGGAGACCAGAAGTCCAGCCACTTCAGATTAATATCTATTACTTTTTAGATATTTAAAAACTTTCGAACAATACGTGCCGTATCCAAGAGAACTGAGTGTTGAGCCTCTTTCAGCACTTCAAGAGGTAATTTTAATCCCATCATGCCTGCCACTGTTGTCTTTGGTATCAATCCATTGGAGGATATTATAATTGGAGTGGTGGTGACGTTCCCCAAATGATACAATTCCTTCAGTTCGATTGCCAATTCCTGGTATTTTCTCAGTTTTTCTCCAACAGTGGAGTTTATATTATTATCATTGGGGATCCCGACATCAATAAGCTCTGCTCTTTTCTCTCTCATGTCTATCAGAAGGATGTCTGGTTTATTGTGACGCACAGTATGGTCAGTTATAATCGATTCATCCCAGTAGAGCTTGAGACTACCTTTTTGGAGGAGTTTATTTGGGTGGTACTTATAATATGGAGTTTTGTCATCTAACAAGTTGAACTTCACCGCCAGAGCCTGATGACAAATTCTAGCCACATTGCTATGCCTCTGGAGATACTCCTCCAGTATATTATTATTATTTTATTTGTCAACACTTTTACAAAAGGTTTTTTTTGTTTACTTGAGAGGGGGAGAATCAACTCCAACCACCTCAGGTATGTTCAATTTTAATTACTATTGAATGTTGAGAAAGCTTCTTACAATTCTGGCAGTATTCAGCAGCACTGCTTTCTGAGCTTCCTTTATTACATGAGTTGGGAGGCCCAGCCTGTCAGTAGCTTCCACAGTAGACACCGGTACCAGGCCAATGCTGGAGATCACAATGCCCCTAACGGTTACTTTATTAAGTTTATACAAACTTTTTAACTCAGCTGCTAGACCTTGATATTTCCGAATTTTTTCTGCACAGACTGAGTTAATGTTTCCATCATTTGGCACAGCGATATCTATAATTTCAGCCACCTTAATATTACCGTCAATTAATACAATATCAGGTCTGTTGTGGATCACGAGATGGTCTGTTATGAACGATTGGTTCCAATATAATTTTAAGTCATCTTTCTGGCAAATACCTTTAGGGCAATATTTATAGTAGGGCTTCGAGTCGTTTAATAATTTAATTTTTAGACCAATTGCCTGGTGATAGACTTTGGCAACATCGTCATGTCTTTTTAGGTATTCTGTACCTGCAAGAGCTCCGCAGCCTCCAGTTATGTGTTGAATGGATTCATATGTGCTTGCACAGAGCCTACATTTGTCCGATACATTCTGTTGCTTCAAGACGTGTCGCCAGTAGGATCTGGTAGCTATAACCTGGTCCTGGATTGCAGTTAAAAAATCTTCAGTCTCGGGGAACAGACTTCCTCCTACCAGCCAGCTAACAGACAAAGATTTATCTATTTCAGTCTGCTGAAGCTGGTGAAAAAACCTTCCATGTAATGCTTTTGACTTCCATTCTTCCATGCGGTCTTTGTCGGTAACAAAGATTGGCGCAGTTTCATGAGAGGCTAATTGTAGAGCAGTGTGCCCGCGATCGAGATTGCAGATTATCTTATGGCACGGCACTGCGCTTTGTTTAAAGTACTCCCTTAGGTTCTTTTCTTGATTTCGACAAGACTCTTCAATATTTGTAAGACCTCTCCCTCCTTCCTTTCTTGGCAGGTAAAGCCTTGCCATAGATGCAGTCGGGTGGTGCATTCTGGAACCCGTCATACTTGTTCTTATTAACCTATCCAATTCCTGGAGTGACGTTGTGGACCATTTTAGAATTCCAAAGCTGTAAGATAAGGAAGGAATAACCCATGTATTTATAGCTTTTATCATTAAACCTGAAGAAAGATGTGTTCTAAGGATGATCTTTAGTCTTTTTTTAAATGAACCTATCAATTTACATTTTACATCCTTTCTAGCTATTTTTAAATGCTGTTCTATCCCTAGATATTTATACATATCTTCTTTCTGAAGGTTCTTAATATGATATTCTTCATTAAACAAGTTTTCGGAATTATTTGGTTTTCCTTTTATAACGTGAAGAACTGCGCATTTCTCAGTCCCAAGGGACATCTGTATGGAGTCACTAAAGTGGCTGACTGTCTTTAGCATAGACTGGAGCTGGGATTTATTCTTTGCGTAGAGTTTTAAATCGTCCATATAAAAGCTATGACTGATCATTGCACTTAATTCATTAAATTTTACTTTGTATCCATTTTCTTCACGATTTAATAAAATTGACAATGGAGCCATCGCAAAACAAAACCAAAGGGGGCTGAGGCAGTCTCCCTGGTATATACCTCTTGAAATGGTAATGTATTCAGGTGATTGCTTATCTCCTATTCTCAGTCTTGTTTTCCAGTTGTCCATCAATTTCCTCAGAAGTTCTTTAATATAAGGATGGATTTTATATAAATCCAGAACTTTTAAAAGCCAACTATGAGGAACTGAGTCAAATGCTTTTTTGTAATGAACCCAGGCTATTGACAAATTTCTTTTATTCATGGTCGTCTGGCCTGCAACGAATGAATCGATGAGCAAAAGTTCTTTACACCCTTGGGCTCCTTTTCTACAGCCAAGTTGCTCGAGTGGAATCAAATTATTGGTTTGCAGGTGAAATTCAATTTTACTTGTGAGAATGGATGTTAAAATCTTATACACACCGTTGAGGCAAGTGATTGGCCGAAAATCTTGGGGGTCCAATCGATCTCCTACTTTTTTGGGAATCAGCACAGTAACACCCTCACAAAATGTTTTGGGAATGTCTATCTGCCCTGTTATAATTTTTTTATAATTCATTGCAAGTGTTTCATGCAGGCAGGATAGATTCTTTAACCAGTAATTCTGAATTCTATCACTACCCGGCACTTTCTAGTTTTTCATTTTCTTTGTAGCGATGATTACATCCTCTTTCGAGATGTCGAATTCTGGCATTTGAGGTTTCTCCTGAAGTTCAGTATTTACTAATTTTAACCATTCGTTTTCATTATTATGCTCTACATTGTGCTCCCAAAGCTCTTTCCAATACTCTATAATATTGTCAGTTAATTATCATTACCTAAGCTCCGATAAAACTGCTGCTCACTGTTTTTGAACATTTTGTTCTGCTGTTTTCGAAGTAACGACTTTTTATATCTTCGTATTCTGTTTGCATAAACTCCAAGTTTTTGCTTCAGTCTATCAGCATGTAAAGCCAGTTTTTCGGTGAGCTCAGATTCTAACACCACCCCTATTTGTAGTACAACTATTTCGTCGATTTTTTGTTTTACTTTTGTACTTGCTCCAACGGGGTTCCTGATATAACTCGTTATGACTCCAATATTTTCCAATCTTCTCTGCCAGCTTGGAAGTTTTGTATGATTTTTATCTTTCTTTTTTCCTTGTTTTTCCAAGCCAAGTTCAATAATAATGACACTAGCTGCAACATAGGCCCAATGACAAACAACTTCGACAGTCATTTATGGGTAATCTACAATAATTCTACTCAGAGCCTCATTAACCCGATTCACAGTCAACCGTGATTTGAAGCTATAGGGAATCTTTGAGAGGATTGGTCTAACATCAAGCGGTATCCCCTCATAAATCACATGCTGGGATAATTTATTATTATTATTCCCATTCTTTATTCTCGCTTTGCGGGGTAAGTTTCTGAGGTGGGAGACCAGAAGTCCAGCCACTTCAGATTAATATCTATTACTTTTTAGATATTTAAAAACTTTCGAACAATACGTGCCGTATCCAAGAGAACTGAGTGTTGAGTCTCTTTGAGCACTTCAAGAGGTAATTTTAATCCCATCGTGCCTGCCACTGTTGTCTTTGGTATCAATCCATTGGAGGATATTATAATTGGAGTGGTGGTGACGTTCCCCAAATGATATAATTCCTTCAGTTCGATTGCCAGTTCCTGGTATTTTCTCAGTTTTTCTCCAACAGTGGAGCTTATATTATTATCATTGGGGATCCCGACATCAATAAGCTCTGCTCTTTTCTCTCTCATGTCTATCAGAAGGATGTCTGGTTTATTGTGACGCACAGTATGGTCAGTTATTATCGATTCATCCCAGTAGAGCTTGAGACTACCTTTTTGGAGGAGTTTATTTGGGTGGTACTTATAATATGGAGTTTTGTCATCTAACAAGTTGAACTTCACCGCCAGAGCCTGATGAAAAATTCTAGCCACATTGTTATGCCTCTGGAGATACTCGGTGCCAGCCAACACTCCACACCCACCTGTGATATGTTGGATTGATTCCAGCGTCGCTGAGCATAATCGACATTTATCCGTAGTTGTTGCGTCTTTAAGAACATGCCTTCTATATGATCTAGTAGCAATAACTTGGTCTTGGATGGCGAGCAGAAATCCTTCTGTCTTGGAGAATATCTTTCCAGCTTTCAGTCATTCAATGGATATTTCCTTTTCAATCGAGCTATCATTTAATTTGCTGTAGAATCTTCCATGCAGAGATTTATTTTTCCATTCTGCCAAGCGTTCGTTTTCTGACACGATTGTAGAGACCTCACGATTGCTCAGGTTAAGTGCGGTTAGACCATAATCCAATCTTGAGATTGCGAGGTAAACCTCAGTTGTTTTTGTAAAAAAGTATCGGCGTAGGGCCGCTTCCTGCTTGCGGCAAGCTTCTTCGATATTTAGCAAACCACGTCCTCCTTCTTTCCTAGGCAAATACAGACGAGCTTTGGATGATATTGGATGGTGGGCCCGTTCTTGTGTGAGAGTTGTTCGCACAAGGCGGTCGATCTCCTGTAGGCTGGTGTTTGACCAGTGCAATATGCTGAAACTATAACCGAGAGCAGGTATTGCCCAGGTGTTAATAGCCTTGATTTTTTGTTTCCCAGTTAGCTGGGTTTTGAGCACTTTCCGCAATCTAATTTTGAACTAATTTGAACTAAATTTAAATTATTATTATTATTATTATTATTATTATTATTACTATCTATCCGATCCTCATCCTTATAGAACTCCATCCCCCCCCCCCCCGACATCCGTCGCTCCAATACTCTCCCTACTTTTAAATCCTGCCTATTCAATCACTTTCTTTCCATCCAGTCCCTCTAAAATTGTAAATAGAAAATTCTGTAAATATGTATATATATTATTAGTTTATTTTCATCTCATTGTTCTTTCAGTTATTTACTTTTTTCTTAATCGACTTAATATAGAAGATAACTTTTTTTTTCTTTATTCTCTATTATATCTATTAGTTAATAACTTTCTAAATACATGTATATATATCTGAGGCTCAAAAGCCCACATTTTTGTCCTTTTTAATTATTCTAAAGGGATTCGTCCCAGAATAAATAAAAGATTATTATTATTATTATTAATCATTAGATATTTTATATATATAAAAACTTATAATTAATGTATTATTATTAATTGATTGAAATCTAGAGCTCATCAAAATGTTAGCAAGGCTAGGCTGATTTTGATGAAATTTGATGTACATGTTTCTATAAAGGCTTTTTATTATTATTATTACTTTCGGAGTTCTGCGCATGCACTAGATTATAATATACCACAGTTATCTAGTCTCTTAGATATATTCACATTTTCTTGAGAAATTAGTGTTATTTTTTAATTAAATTGTGACTATACGTGAGCTAAACGTCTGTACTATAATATGCATTAATGCCCCAGTGAGTACAGTTGTTATTTATTGTGTACAATCGTGTGAAGTGAAACCGGTGTATACAGGCCAGTTCCCTTATCCCACTGCCATAAGTACCTGGCCCAACGTAGTCAGTTGGGCTTGGAGCCTTAACGGGAGAGGTCCTTTTGCGACGCTGAGACAAAATCAAGGTCACGCAGCATGTTTTAAAATTTTTTTATTTCGTTTTTTTAAAAAAATTTTTCTCTTCCTTTACTTTATCTCGATGTATTATGCGATTCTACCATCAACTCATGTCTTCTAAGGGTGCAATAACGAGGTCTCGCTCCTCCGTATCAACACCAAGTTCGTTACCTGCAGAAAAAAAAAAGTCGCCAATCGAAAAGAACAGCAGATAATGCCCAATTCGGCAGAAGGCTCAGAGCACAGAAGCATGAAAGGAGAGGCCAAAGAAGAAGTAGGCATATAGCCCTTCTTTTCCCATGTTCCTTGTTACATGTTCTCCGCGAGGTAATGCTTGACAGCAGTTCTGTGGTGGTAATTATATAAGAAGAATAGGGTGGTGGTTTTTTAGTGAGTAGGAATCTCACACTATTGTGTGACTTTTTGTTTGTTGCACTTTGTCTTATGAAAGACCTTTACCCTACCAAGAAAAAAACAACAGACCTATGTGTATGAAACAATTAAAAAAATATTCTAAATAGTAATTACCTCCAGTTTTCTAGCTGCTTTCTTGATTCGTGTTGTTTCATTAGCTTTTTGTACTAACCCAGATAAGGATTCAACAAAATGCAAAACTGCTTTCAGTTGAGAATCAGTTAAGACCCATAACAAATCATCTAATCTCAACAGAAGTTTGCAACCCATCACAAAGCAATCTAAAAAAGAAAATTATACAAAGAAAATTTGAATTCAGGCAATATTTGCAGGTGCTTCTGATGCTTTATAATATTTAAAAACTTAAATTAACATTGAAAAATATAACTTTAGATACTCTTTGGGAGATATTAAGTTTTAAAACAACATATTCTTTTCTCCAGGCTATAAAACTCCTTTAAGTTAATGACCAATATCCTGCTAAACAAGACATATCCATATTATAAAAATATAATAATAGCTATTTTTTAAAAATTTATTTATTCATTTCAATAAGCTATACAATAGAACCTGAAAGGTTTACATTAATGTGTTATTAAAAAAAAAAAATCTAATAATGAACCTACATTAAGATTCTAAAATTATCCCTATGGGTTCATAATACAGGTTCATTATACAAGAGAAAATAAAAATAAACCAACTTTCACATTACAAAACAGATAAAATTATATTTAAAGAAATTATGCCTTATCTCCTACTCTTGTCAATCATCTCTCATAACTGCGGATACAAATGATCTTAAATGCTGAATCTTGATACAAGGGGAAGTATCTGGAGCCTTTAAAGTTCGAAGAGGTTTGAGGAAGGGAGATGGACCCTCACCATTTCTCTTCAACTTTATATATATATATATATATATATATATATATATATATATATATATATATATATATATATATATATATATATAAGAAAAATAACTAAATAAACTGGATTATATGCTTAATATCAACCAAAAAGTTCTACCTGATAAACGCTTTTTTATGGTAAGGCGGCAATTGGCCTTATTAGTCAAAAGCCTTAAGGGTGGAAGATCAATATCTTTTGTAGATCGGGCTTCTAGTCTTAATGTTTGCCATTCCAAACTTTTAAATATTAAAATCTGACCCCTAGTACTGTCTTTTAGCCTTGTCTTATTTAATTCAGCTCTTTTCCAGTTAGGGCTTTTAGATTCTACTGTTATTCTCATTATCTGAAAAACAAAAATTAATACAACAAACAGCAACAAAAAATTATTATATAGTGGTAGTACAGCTTATGTATTTGTCATATATTTTTTCTTTCTTAATACTAGACAGACTTAACAAAGGATTGCTTTGTAAAAAATGAGTTCCAATTTTTACCACTCACTTCAAATAATAAGATTCAGTTAAAAAATATAATTTTAGAATTGATTCTAATAAATTGATTCGATGAGAATGACAACAGTACATATCGCAAACCAGTATTTGCAGACAAAAGGTTTGGTTATCTTGTGAATTACTATCAGTGTGTTTTAAGGATTAGTTTAGGGCCTACGATTGTTGTTGGCATACTGTTCTTGTGCTCAATGCCTAGTTCAACAGGTTTCAACCTACAAAAAAAAACATTGTTTCAAAAGGGTCAAAATTGGACTCGTACTGTTTTTATTCTCATTGATTCAATTATAAAGCAGATAATAAAGAAAATAAATGACAACAATCTTTTTGGATTTGAAATAAATGGATCGAAAAGATTTTCATTTCCTATTCTGTTTCACTTCGATATTTTCTAGGATCCTTTGACATCTTTAATCTTTATCTTCATTAAACCAATAGCAAAGCAAAAATGATATATAATGGGTATTAATAAGTATAAAATACCTTTAAATATCCAAAACTATGTGATATATCCAAATAATGCAACAAAAAGTTTTGAGAAACATACTAAGACCGAGGAAAAATCCCTAAAGAAGATATAAAACAAAAAATTAAACAGATTTTACAGGTGTAAGGTGTGTATCTAAGTCCTTCGTTTTCATTTATACAAAAAGTAGACTGGTTGCCACTCAACAATGCAGAGACTACTGTCCGACTGGGAAATGGTCCAAAAATCATGAACATAGTTACTACTGCTCAGATGGCAGTGGTCCTCAGTCAAAAAAAAAAAAAAAAAAAAAAAAAAAAAAAAAAAAAAAATATATATATATATATATATATATATATATATATAAACTAAATAAAGTAATACTAAATTCCTTGGATCTCTATGATCACCTATCTTTTAATGCTTACAATACTTAATACATTTTAATTTATTTAAAATCTTTACAAAATAAAAAATCATATCTCTGTTGTTTATTTTTTAGGACCCCAACTTGAAGGCTCTAGCAGTTTTTCAAGGACTTCAACAGAATCCAAATAAATTATAAGGTATTATTACCATGTATTAATAAAAATAAAGTATTAGTTACAAATACTCATTACAATCCATGTATTAAATGAACCTAAGAGCTGTTATACTTAAGAGCTGTTAGCTGTTATACACCATAAGAGCTGAAACTAAGAGCTGATAATGTAGTGCTTCTCCTATATTCATTATATTTCTAACCCACACTAAATTTAGTGAGTAAAAATGATATGGAAACTGAATGATTATTAATTAAATATCTACACGATCTACAATTGATAACAAATTAAATAAAGATAAATTAAACATTTTTGTGAAATCAAAAGTTAGCAAAGTGTAGACGTTAAAAATAATACAATATTCTTTAAAAATGAAAGATATATAGAACAATCACTGGGTGTAAAAACACCCCAATGAATTACATAACATATAATAAAATCATCATACCTGAACAGATGCAATAAAAGCTGGAGTTCTAAATGTAATAGACACTACATTTACATTGATTGTCATACCATCTATAACTTTATTAATGAAGTTATATTTTGTGGGTGCAGAATAGGATGATAATCCTTGCTGAGCAGAAAGAGACCTCAACTCTTCACATGTTTCAATTTCTACATTTACTTCATCTAAAAACTAAAAGTGACACCAAATGACATGAATTCCTTTTACTTATTATTTCTATATCATCATTATATATTTTGATAAGCCTAAGTTTACCAAGAACTGAAATTACTTATTTAAAAATGTTGACAGTAAAGTAAATTTTTAAAGTAATTATAATTTTCCCCATTGACTTTACAGCTACTGCTGAATCATTTAATAGGACTTCTTTAAAAAATTCACTACCAGTGCTTGAGAAGACAAATCTACACCATAAAGTATAACATATTTTCTTATAATGGGACTTCAGAATTTTCTATATTATATTTAAAATTTAAATATTATAATTTAAATTAAGTAAGCTAATCAGTTTTCCAAACTTACACATCATTGCAACACTGGGCAAAATATAAGAAACTCACATATTTGCCTATGGTTAACTCCACAGATGTTGGAATTGCAAATTTTATAGTCTGAAGTAAAAACCTTTGCCAAGTATAGTCAGCAAAGCTGCCTCATCAATTACAATTAAAATTACATAATCATCAACACAGGCACAGACTTTCAATTTGGGTTGGGGTGTGGAGAGGGCGATGGACTCCCCCCAAAAAGGTCAAGAGTTTATAGAATAGAATAGAAGATAACTGTATTCTGGAATGAAGTCCCTTGAGAATAACAAATAATAAAAATAAAAAGAGAAATTCTGGTCAAACAGCTTTCTACATTAAATAAAATAAGAATAAAAAGAAAACATTGAATAAAGTAGCTATATACAAAGCAAATAAAGCTATATATATAACTTTTCCAATTATAATATGATAAAAAATAATCTCTGGTTAAAAGAAAAAAATATGTAAAGAAAGCAAAAAAAAAATAATATCACTTATAACAGACTTATGGTGGTACGCATAGAAGTCCCTTGTATTTTATTAATCCTTACTATCCCAAACTGCCATAGGTCAAACTCTATCCCTTCAAGCTCCCTTCTATAATAAGGGGACATTTGGTAGAGATAGTGGAAGGTCCCTTCCTTATTCCCAAAACTCCCCTTTACATTCACTACTACTTATATTTAACTGATAGAAAATGTAATTATTGTGCTATTATTATAATTTTTGCTATTATTATACTTACAAAAATTATTATTTTAGTTATTATTATACTTGTACCTAAATAAAATATAATGAAATAAAGTTTCTGGATTCAAACCAGAGCTGTACCAAATAAACAAAGTTATTTAAATAACAAATACTTTTATTTACAGCTGATCCAAATAATTTTATTTCTATTTATATTTGAAATTCAAATAAATAAATAACTAAGGATTTCTTCGATTTAGTGGTCTGTTAGTATGTTATCGGAGGAAGCCATACTTTTTGAAAGCACTGTAGATTTTAAAATAACTCTCTCGCATATCGATTAATTTAAATTTTTCGGATTGCTTCGATTTAGGGGTTTGTTAGTATGTTATATTAGTTAGTATGTTATGAGAACTTGAAAATCTCGAGTACATCCTATCCACTTGGAAACATGAGTCTTGCTAAACGGAAAAACCAAGAACCAGATTGATCATGTAATGATTGATAACAGGCACAAAAGTGATATAGATGTGAGGGGTTATAGGGGAGCGGATCGCTAAACAGATCATTATTTGGTATGGATAAGATACAAACAGAGACTAGCCATCAAATCAAGAGGGAAAACAGAGAAAGCAAGGAATAGATATAAGGTTGAAGACCTGAAAAATCCTGAGAAACAACTGCTGCATATATGAAAAGTGGAAGAAAATCTATGAAACAATGCACTTGAGACAGAAAAAGATGTACAAAAGAAATGGATAAGAATAAGTCAAGCTGTAAGGAATGCTGTGCTGAGACGATAGTCGAGGAAAAGAGAGAGAAAAAGAACAGTTAGTTTTTGTGAAGAACCAATGAATTTGAAACAGCAGTACAAGAGAAGTCAAAAGGCCATGAAAGGATGCTTCAACGGTGTACAAGACAGGGCAAAGAATACAAATGGAAGAGAAACAGCTCTGCAGATATAAAAAAAGGAAAAGGAAGATCTGGAAACAATGCTGCAGGATTTCAAAAACAAAAACAGCAGATCTTTAAATGGCAGAGTCAAAGAGATAAGAAAAGGATTTCAACCCTGGATATCCTTTTGTACAGACAGGGAAGGTCTACTCTTGGCAAGAATGAAGTGATCAACAGGTGGAGAGACTATTTCAAAAAGGTACTAACCCAGAGACAAACTTTGAAGAGATAATATCTGAACTCGGAACAGCAGAAGAGGGTGTAAAGCTAGAACCAGCAGATCCTGAGGAAGTACAAGTCATTGTGTCCTTAAAAATAATAAAATGCCAGGAGAGCTTAGTGGAGCCCCAAAGCTCAACTCCATATGTCTAAATAGGCCATATTACAGTCATGTGTATGAGTCTTTTATAATTAATTGGGAGTTTAGAGCATTTGTCTAGTAAGTGCAGATGTAGTCAGAAACGTTGAGTGGTTTCTTATCTTTTTAGTCTGGTGTGAGGATTCCAAGTTGGACATTTTTCCAGGTGCAGTCCAAGGTATCGGATTTGTTTAACAGGGGTAAGCAGAGTATTATTAAAGGATACTGTTAAACAGGATGTCATAGGTTTACACTGAAGGGTAAAAGTAATTTGGTGGGATTTATTGGAATTTATTTTGATTCACCAGTTTTGACACCATTCTTGAAGGTTTATAATGTATAATTGAAGAGTTTGGGATGCAGTTGATGGGTCATTTTTAAATGATAGGGCACATGTGTCATCCGTATAGAAGGTGATGACAGTGTTGGGATGTCAGCTGTATAGATTGTGTAAAGGATAGGAACTATGATACTACCTTTAGGAACACCAGCAGACAGGGAAAAAAGGGATTAATAGGCATTGTTGTCATTCACTTTGAAGTATCCATCAGTATGAAAAGGAATGGATAATGAGGAAGTATGTTGGTGGTAGGAATTTACTGTGTTTGTACAACAGCCCCATGTGCCAGGCTCTATCAAACACCTGTTAAACGTCGAGAAAGATTCCCTTGTAGTACATTCCATGTTCCTTACGATTACGTCTACCACGCGATGACATTGCTGGATAGTGGAATGAGAAGTGCGGAATTCAAATTGGTGGGATACAGGCATTTTAAGATAAGTTTTTCCAGGATTTTTCCCATGATGGGTAAAAGAGAGATAGGACGGTAAGAGGATGGGTATTCTGGTGGTTTTTTGGGTTTATGTATCATTTTAATAGTTGATAGTTTCCAAGGGTCAGGAAAATATGTGGACCGGAGTACAGCATTATGTATATAAGTAAGGAATAGAATGGTCTTCCGCAGAAGCAGTTTTAGAATCTGGGATGTAATTAGGTCGTGCCCAGAAGCTTTGCAGGAAGGTTATCTGTGTATGATATTGGATATTTCTGAAGGATGGAATGCTTTAAGTGGAATGGTCAGTTTTAGTGGGATATCCAATTCTGACTCAATACACTCATGGTGGATTTGATTTAGAATATCTGGGTGTGGATCAAAGGTTTTGAAGAGGTGCTGAGCAAATATTTGAGATTTTTCACCATCATATCTGGACCAGGTTTGATTTTCAGTAATGAGATGATGGTTAAAATCTTTGAATTTTAGGAGCTTCTTGGTGGTCAACCATAGTGATTTGTAGTAGTTGTTGTAAGATTTTCTGTTCAGTTAAGTAAATTTTATTTTTTTAATTTCTGCTTAGTTGGTTAGTTAAATTGTAATAAGTTTTTCTGATGGGTATCTAGTCCTGTGCCACTTTGATCTCGCTCTGCCTGCCTTTTTCCCTTAATAAGATACTTATGTGCTGTGGCAAATTAGTCTGTAGGAAGGTGTTAATTTTAATGATAGATGTATTGTCGTTTATTGCGTCTCTTATAGATGTTGCAAGTAATTCTATGGCTGTGTCAATGTCATGTTTGGTCTTGAGTGGGATATTTAAGTCCAATTTGTTTTCCAAATCATTATAAAATTTGCTCCAATTTACTCATCCTGTAATCAATGTAGGAGGGGAGGAGGGTTTAGGAGCAAAGGTGGACTGTAATGAAAGCACAGCTGGACTATGATCTGAAGAAAGGTCATCCAAGGATTTGATTGTGACATGGGAAGAGGAAATCTGGGAGATGACAAATATGTCCAGAATATCAGGGTGTTTTTTTAGCGAAGTAGACCAATAGGTAGGATACATGAGAGAGAGGATAGAGTAACAGTTGGAAGTTGAAACAGAAGATAGAATGTTACCACGGGAGTTGGATGAATGACAACCCCATCATTGGTGTTTAGTATAGTAGTCTCATCCAGAAATAAAATGCAATCAAAGCGATTGGAATAAGGATTCAAGTAGATTGCAGGAAAGAGAATGGCCAGAAGGACAGTATACATCTGAAAGTGTAAGGTGGATAGGAGTTGAAATGATTACCGAGGTTGCTTGAATAGTCTCAATTGGAACGGAAGGAATAAGAGAATGGAGTAAGGATTCATGGATAAGGATGCAGGAACTGGCATGGGAAGTGATGTCGGGGTGGTCTGGTCTAAGTAATGTAGTCACGTCGCATGTGGAAATATGAATGTTGAGTAAAGTGAGTTTCTGTCAGTAGAGCAATATCAATGTGGTTGTCGTGGAGAAAAATGTCAAGTTCGTCTCGGTGGTTGTGTAGTCTGTTAGTGTTCCATAAAAGGACAGCTAGAGGGGCTTTGTACTGATCATGGGAGGTTAAAAGGAATTTCGGTAAGGATTCTAGTGAGGAGGATGATTAGTGGCTTGATAGTCTCTTGGAGATCTATCAGGAAGGACACAGAATTTAAAATTAAAATTTACTCTTGAAATATCTACAATTATATACATCAGTAAAATATAAAGAAAACAAAAAATAAATAAATAAAAATTATCTTTTTGGGAAAAAAATCCTTGGATTCCAACTTGTGACTGCTTGGGAGCCGTTGGATAGATACACAGATCCAATACCTCTAAGCTACGGAACTTCTGATAAGTCAGAGTCCTATGTGCTGATAGAAGTAAGCTGGACAAATACTGCTTGCCACATAGCTCTCTAGCCCACTTCACTCTCATTATCACTCGTATTATTATAGTCACTGACCTCACATCAATATTAATAAGCAAAATAATTGTTCATCTCTGAATATACTCAATGTTTACAAGTTTTCACTGTAATACGTGAGCTAATTCTTCTAATATTTGAGAATAACATGACACGAATAGTAACGTACAAATCACTTGCGACCATGACACTTCTCTAGATGGATAAAAATAAATAAGAAAAACTACACACATGCTATATTTAGATAAAAAATTTCTGATAAAATGTCTAATTGGTAATTAAAATTTATCATCATGATAGACAAGCTAACAATATAAGAATCATTAAAGAATACTTACAATAGAAATAGGAACACTTTTTAGCTTTGTCCATTGAATTCTAAAAGAAACTTTATTGCACCAGGCACTAGTTAGACGAACCCATGAAGGAAGCTCTAATAAATCAGTTAAAATAATTTCATCTAATTCTAAAGAACTGAGTTCACCTTCTCCTTTAAAGGTACTTACATTAATTTTGTCAGGAGAAAGATTCTTGGTGAACCTGAAAAAAAAAAAAAAAAAAAATATATATATATATATATATAAGTTAAATGTTTAATCCTATCTAGATATTGTAAACAAGAGCTAGTAGAATATATAGAGGATTACTAGGTAAATAAAGTTAGTCTTTTGCAAGCAACCGAATGAGTTATTTCACATCCCTTTTTCCTTTTTTTTATTATTATTAAGAGAGAGTCCTTCCTCCACCTAGACAAGTTTCTCCACCACAAGACACTTTCTATTCCTATCCCAACCATAATCCAACTGGCATATCATTTGTTCTCTCATCCATCCTTTATGATCTTTAAGATATCATCACACTTCTTACCCGACTCTTCTCAAAAATCCCAAATAAGATCCCAAGTATCCTGTTCTGGAATGCAAATGGCATGCAGAACCATCGAGACGAACTTGACGTATTTCTTCACACAAATCTAATAGATGTTGCCTTATAGATTGAAACCCATTTTACATCACATACCTATTTTCACATACGAGACTACATCACATACAGATCAGATCACCCAGACCATACATCCCATGCAGACTCTTGTATCCTAATTCATAAATCCTTACCCCATTCCCTGATCCCTTCTACTTCAACAGACAATATTCAATCAACCTCCATAATATTATCCTCTAGCCCATTTAATATAACATTATCAGCTGTATACTACCCGCCTGGTAATCCCCATTCCTTTAATCGTCTTGATTCCTTATTCCAAACTTTGGTCAGCGCTTCATTGCTGGAGGGGATTACAACGCCAAAGAGCAATGGTGGGGATACTCTAGGTGGGATACTTTTCCGTGTCACATCCAACAATAGTTATTCCATTCTGTCTTCCAAGAACCCTACTTACTAGCCTACATCTCTCAAGAAATGTCCTGATATTCTAGATATATTCATTACTTTCCAAATACCCAATACACAATCAAATCCTTAGACGACCTTTCATCAGACCATTATCCTGTTCTGCTTCTCATGCATTCAAATCCTATTCCTATAACCTCTCCTTCATCACTGATTACAGGACAAGTAAACTGAGACAACTTTCGACATGACCTAAAAAAACAATTAGGATTTAAAAATTCTGTTAAAAACTAAAATGCTGATTGATTAAGATATTGAAGAACTTACAAGAACCATAGAAACCTCCATCAATAACAACACATCACATTCCAAAATTAGAAGTTACCGAGAAACCAACCTACCACATCTCCGAAGCATATTACTAACAGAAAAATAACGGGCAAGAGCCAAATGGCCTAAAACCAGATATCCATAGGACAAAATTCTTTACAATAAACTGAGAAACAAACTAAACATATAAATCAGAAAACTCAAAATTCAAAATTTTTAGAACTTTACTGGAAACCTAACTACCACTGACATATCATTATGGACAACCACTAAAAAGCTACTCAATTTCAAAACCTTCAATCATCCACTCCTCATTAAATCACAGACCTGGTCAAGATTTGACAAAGAAAAGTCCCAAATATTTGGTGAACACCTTTTCAAAACCTTTAACCCTCATCCCGATATCCTCAACCCTATCCATCTTGAACATATTGAAGCAGAACTTACTATCCCTCTTCAGTTATCACTTCCTCCTAAAGCGTTCCATCCCTCAGAAATCATTAACATAATTCAGAAATTATCCTCCAAAAAAGCTCCTGGTCATGGCCTCATCACCTCCCGAATCCTAAAGCAACTTCCACGAAAAGGTGTCCTACTACTCACCTATATATATATATATATATATATATATATATATATATATATATATATATATATAATGCCCTACTGAGAACCACCTATTTTCCTGATCCTTAGAAATTTTCCATAATAAAAATGATTCTAAAAAATAAAAAGCCACCTGAATACCCATCCTCCTATTGTCCTATCTCCCTTCTGCCTATGATGGGCAAAATACTAGAAACACTGATATTAAAACGCCTTTACCCAATCCTAGACTCATATCACTTGATTCCTGACTACCAGTTTGGATTTCGAACATCTCATTTCATTATTCAGCAGTGCCATAATGTGGTGGATGTCATTTCCTCCACATTGGAGCGCAATTTTTCTCGATGTGGGACAGGCCTTTGATCGAGTTTGGCATTCAGGTTTGCTATACAAACTTCGTCAATGCCTTCCTCCTACATATTTCCTTCCTCATAGATAGAACCTTCAAAGTAAATCACAACTCTGCCTACTCAACTCTCTTTTCCCAGTCCACTGGTGTTCCTCAAAGAAGCATCTTAGATCCCATCACAGGCGGATTTACGGGGGGGCTTTCGGGCTGAAGCCCCCCTCCCCCCAAATGGTAAAATGTAACCATGTTTTATGGTAAAAAATATTTAAAAATTATGTCTTAAAGTATTATTGCTCGTTTAATTACATTTAATAGGACTTCAAGAATCACTTAAACACCATTTCATATAGATAGTTAGTATCTTTCTGTTTTTCTAAAGTAATTATCGTTATATATATGAAAAAAAAAGCTTCCGGGCTGAAGCCCCCCCCAAAATTAAATCCTGGATCCGCTAGTGGGTCCCATCCTTTACACAGTTTATACAGCTGATATTCCGACCCATCCTTCTACCGTCTTTACCACCTATGCTGATGACACATGTTTATTATCTTCCAATAATGAACCAATTGTAGCATCTCAAATACTGCAGTCACACATTTAGAATGGTGTCATAAGTGAAGAATGAAAATTAATACAAACAAATTGCTTTTACCTCCCGTCGTAAACCTATAACCTGTAAACCTGTCCTACCGCATCCTTTAACAATATTCTCCTTATCCCTGTCGAACAAATCCTTTACTTAGGACTCCTTACTTGGAATCCTCATACTAGATTGAAAAGACAAGAAACACTCCTTATTTGAGTTTCGCCGCTCAAAAGTCCTCTTTAAATGGTTTTAACAAAAGCAAACTCTATTTTTATTTAATCAGTTCTGCGCATGCGTTAGCCCTAGTTAAACATACGTCAGGTCGTCTCTTATAAAAATCTCATTTATCAGTGGCAGTATACAAGTTTAATGTGAATAATTAGTGTTATCAGTTACATTAACAATTACGTTTGATACTGGACAAAAAAATAAGGTGAGTAATCACTTATTTACAACACAAGAGTGAACAGTGTAAATAGACCTTAGGTTAGTTAGATAACGGCCAGCCATAAGCTGCACCAGTCGTTAATCCTACCAGTGGGCTACATCCCTCCGTCGGAGGAAGATCTGTGCTCTCCAAGAGCGCGTCTATATTTTCGTGTTCAATAAAAAATTTTTTTTTTCCTCTCTTCACTTTTATCAATTTTTCTTTTAAAAATAAATATGAAATGCGATATTATCACATGCTAATGTCGAGTAAGGGCAAAAACACTAGGTCCAGGAGCCTCGATACTACAATTAGTTCTCCCATTAAAAAAAGACAAGGCATTCGAAAAGAAACACTCCACCAGCCACACCAGGGAGCTCCATAGAAGAAGTGGAACCCCAACCTGGCTCCTCACAACAACCCAACAATTATGAGACAACTCAAGCTATGGGTGAAGAATCGCCGTTTTTCACTTCGAATCCATTTGAAGTGCTTTCAAATATAAATAACGAACAAATGGAAGCAGCATCCATCCCCAGAGAACCCAAACCCCCACCAATATTTGTTAGAAATATTAAAAATTTTCAATTGATGTGTCATCAATTGAATAATCTGGTAGGTTCAGGAAAATATTTATGCCAAAGCCGCACCAATGACACTAAGTTAATGCCCGACACTCCAGAAACCTATAGAAAAATCATAAAATATTTATCTGACACCAAGGCTGATTACCACACGTATCAACTGCGTCAAGAGAGGGCGCTCAGGGTCGTTATCAGAAGACTGCACCCATCTACGCCAACAGATGCTATAAAAGAAGAGCTCACGGGTATGGGATTCCATGTTCGCCAGATAGTGAACATATTTAAGGAGGATAGAGAACAGCCTGGAATAAAAAATAAAATACCTCTTCCACTATTCTTCGTTGACCTTGACCGAACACCCGATGTCGAAAACATCTACAAGGTCACACGCCTTTATTATACAAGCGTTGTTGTAGAAAAGCCCTACAGCAAGCGCGACATCGTTCAATGCCATAACTGCCAGGCTTATGGCCATACGAAACGGTATTGTCATCACATTCCTAGATGTGTGAGGTGTGGTGAGCAACACAAAACAGAGGACTGTAGGAAGTCTAGAACTTCACCTGCAGTATGCGCTTTATGCCACCAAGGACACCCAGCCAACTACAAGGGTTGTCAAACATACAAAGATTTAAAAACACGAATGTACGCAACGCCTAGAGAAGAAGGGACATCCAGGCCACCAAGACAACCCTATAGAACAGTGAACGGAAGAGTGTCCTATGCTCAGATGTTCAAAGGAGACACTGTAAACACTCAATCTCAGGCCCTGCCACAAGAATCTAAACCTCAAGAATTCACACATCAACCTCAAGACCCATATCCCTCCATCCCTGAACGTAGGTTAAATACCCATACATTCATTCCTCCTCCTTCCAATTCCACTGACCTCACAAGCCTACTGACATCTTTCCTTTCCGAATTTAGATCTCTCATTACCCCCCTTATTTCGCTACTTACCAATGTTATATCCAACCTCATTCCACTGCCAAGAAATCCATAAATGTCCTCAACCAAATTCCTCTCCATTCTCCTTTGGAATGCGAATGGTATTCGGAACCACATCAACGAACTGACAATCTTATTACATGACAAAAACATCGACATAGCACTAATAACTGAAACTCGACTAACCAACAAACGACAAATCAACGTGCCCGGCTACAATATTTATCGAACCGACCATCCTGATGGAACAGCACATGGTGGCACTGCCATAATTATCCATCGATCCGTTTCCCATCATTTGTTTCCCTTACCAAGCCATAATTTCCTACAATCCACAGCCGTAATAATCCAAACACCCCTTTACC